TGACCACGTCGTGGTAGACGTCGTGCGACTGTTGGTCCAGAATGTCGTCCAAATCGGGAGAAATGTAAATCGATTTCTTCGGCGGACGTCTCAACAGCGCAGTCGCAGAACCGGAAACGCTGTTCGGACGCCGGAAGTCCTCCTCGTAGTCCATGGCTTGGTTCGCATCAAACGATTGTTCGCTAAACACTAAAAGAGACAAAAATTTCAGATTTTACTCGAATTTTATTCAAATTCTGACCAAAAAAGAGACAAAAAATAAAAACGGATTTCGAATTCATTTTCTCGAAAAACAGATGTTTTTTTATTTCACAAAAACCCCAAAAGTCGTCCCAAAAAACCCTAAGGAGCGCAAGTCGTCGTCTTTGGGCCGCAGCCGACGGCGTCAGTCGGGGACGACGATCACGAGCGGGTCGTCAATGACGACGACGTGGACGTCGAGGTCGTCGGGGACGTCGCGCACCAGGTGTTCGGGGTTGGGTTCGCACGGGCGCTGGACGGGGACGCGCAGACCGCAGCCCTTGGCCATCGGTTGTCGCCATTTGCCGCGCTTTTGGCCAAAATGGCTTTTGTGGAAATGCGAGTCAAAGGAAAGCGATTCTAAAGAGAGAAACGGTTTTTAGAGGAAAACAAAACTCTTTTTCGAACCTTTTATGAGAAGAAAAACGCAGAAAATTATTACGAATTTTGAATTCATTTTTAATGTCGAAATTATAATTAATAAATGACGTCAAAAATGTCAACAATTCTCGCATTTATTGGAAATTGCATTTATCGATAAGTTTCGGTGAGTTATACGTAAGTTATGAATATTTTCATAAATATAGAACTGATTCTTGTGTTGGGTTCGGCGCCTGTGCTCAGAGTGGAAGCGGCGAAACCGTCTTATGGTTCCCATCATTCCCACCATTGCTGACGATAACATGAATTCAATGAATAAAAACGCGAGTTTGTGTCACAGTGTCTCGTAATAGACAAAGACAGTGTTCGCGCTCTTCAACAAATCGATGAGTTGTTTATGTTTTCCTCACGACTCGAAAGCGTAATTGAATTCTCATTTATACTTATTATGAGTTTAAAAAGTAATTTAATTTATAGATTCAAACCGAAGAGACAAATCTGGATATGGTTTACAACAAAATGACTTTCAAACAATTGAATTCATTGTCATCTAATAAAATGGATTGGGTTTCACTCATTAACAACATCTATCGCATGAGTGGCACAAACGTGCGCTTCACTAAAGATGATCAGCTCATTATCACTGATGTCCAGTATTTCACAAAATTGCCGCAAATATTACTGAAGACACCGAATAGAGTTATTGCAAACTTTTTAGGCTTTTCAGTCGTTCAGATGTTAAGCGATTATACGATCAAAAAGTTTAGGCAAATGGACTTTGAATTGCAGAAGTCGTTGACAGGCATCACAACTCCGCCCGAAGACTGGAAATTATGCGTTGAATTAGTGGACGGCTTAATGCCTTTCGCCACGAGTCGTAAATACATTGAAAACAACTTTGATTTGAGAGCCAAAAGAAAAGTTAGTTACAAAAAAGGCTGCAATTGTTTTTACAAAAATTAAAATTTCAATTATGCTGTGTTTGTTGTGTGCTTACAGTCAACAGAATTAGTGAAATAGAAAAGCGTTTTACAAATCAAACGAATCCAGTGTTGGAGAAGTCGACGCGAACCATGACTTTGGCTAAAGTGAAACAAATGACCAAAAATATCGGATATCCTGACTGGCTATTTGATGACCGCACTCTCGACAGTATGTACAACTTGGTCAGTATTTAGTGGCACTTATAAACTTGATTGCAATTTAGTTCACACTTTTAATTCACAGGATATGGAGTGCAATAAAGACAAAACATTTGAATGCATTTTACACCTCTTGAAGCGATCGGTTTACACAAACTTCAAGTCCATCGATGAGCGCGTGAACGCAACTTTAAAGTAAGATTGTAATTGTAATTAAAATATCATTGCATATGAAAATGTTGTACATTTATTTATATAAAGTTTGTAATATAACTGTTGTAACCTTTCAGCTGGCCATTTGCGCCGACAACAGTTAACGCGGCATACTTTCCAACATTTAACTCGATCAGTTTGTTTTAACAATTATAACAGTAAACAATACTAACATTCTATTGTGCACAATGTAGCTGAAATACTGCTTCGCTAATTAATCAATATCAATTCAATACTATAGTATAAGTGAGCTATTTTTCTCAAAAACCCTCCCCAACGACTCTCCCATAGACTCTCTGCTCCCTCTCTTTCACTCGCATTTACATGGAATTCCCCACAATTCTTCCCCTCTTCCTATCAAACGGTTTGATTGAAAGAGTAGTGAGTAATATATACACACATTACTCATAGACATAGATATAAAGCGATTAAAGTTTTGAGTTTTTATTTACATCCGGTGTATTGTTTTAATTGAATGAAAATTCATACTATAGTAACGTCAAGACCTTTTCAAAGTTATATAAGATTACTCTCCAGCATTGACAGTGCATTTCATGTGCTGATCACTTATATATGTCTGGCTACTCACACCACTGCTCAGTAGTGCTGTTTATCGCTTACAGTCAGTATTGCATAACTTTGAAAAGGTCTTGACGCGACTTTACACATGATAAAGTATACAGTATGTAATAATGCATATGTACGATATGCAATAATGTATATAATAGCAACGGGGGTTTGTATTGATCAGGCGCATATACTTTTGCATGCAAAAGACATACTACAAACGGTAAAACATACAATTATTTAAATGTAAGAGAGAGAGAGAGAGAGAGAGAGAGATTTCAATTGAACAATTTATAAATATATTCGACCATTGGTCAAAGTGACCAGCGGGGAATGGACTAGCATTCTATTGTGCACAATGTAGCTCTGGTACTGCTTCGCTAATTAATACATTCTTTAACTGCCATAACCATATACAGTTAACCCTTGTATCTTGAAGCCTTCCATCTTGAATTTCTATCTATCTTGAAGTCAAACTCAAAGTCCCGATTCATCCCATAGAAGTCTAATGTTAAATTCCCTCATATCTTGAACCTTCTA